ATGAGGCCCATCGGCTAAATACAGAGTTTGCAAATCATGGTTCAAATTTTTCCATTCGCGATTGTTCGCTGCTTACTCTTTTGCTTACTGGTATCTGTTTAAGCGGTGTCGCTTAATGTAAACTTATTGGGACACCGCTAAGGTATACTGGATTATGTCATGTACTAATGTGCACTCCCAAGGTTGTAAATGACGTTTTTTAACTTGCATTGGTTCTGCAAGTTACTAAGAGAATGCTATTTATCTGTCGAATGAAATGTGGCAATCTTTCCCTCTCAGTCCCTCAATAAAACTGTGCTAACTGAACCATGTGCATAAATAAAGCAATAGTTCTTAAGGTGCTGAAGTGCTCTGCAATTAGCTGATAACGGTGACTTTCCATTTGGTACATTTGTTGATCTACTGGAATCCTACCTTTACTGATCCTTGAATTCATTTCGTTTATGGTTGGTCACTCAACGCAAATACGAAAGAACTTGGTAGGTCACCAATTACTCTAGAGACGTACTATTCGATCAAGGTTGTTGTACTTCCTCTATTTCTATGCTACATCCTACGGATCCTTCTTAATGGTAGGACCTGGAATGTGCCGTCCTGGTATTCGTGGTATTAGGTATTGAAATCGAGTTGCTGTACATCCTTATTCTGAAAAATGTGTTTATTTCTAATGCATGACATGATGGAATGAGTGATCAAGGGCTAACAAGTGTAGTTCATTCCTAGTGACTAAGATCTGGCCTCGTCTGGTGTAGTGCCTTATGTTAATTCGGATCTTTTGCGGTAAACTAGTCATCTTTTCAAACAAATCTTAACGCCCGGTGAGGAATCCCTGCCAAGGTGAAACTTAAGAGTATTGAGGATGTGGCGACTTCGGCGATGATGTTAGATCTTCTGACATAAACAGACTTTTCTTCCTTACAGATCAGCAAGATGGTCCCTACGAAGGTCGCATGTTTCAGCGCCTTAGTTATATTTCTGATGACATAACAAAATTGGCCGTGGATGCCATTGTCAACGCGGCTAATTCATCGTTGTTGGGTGGTGGTGGTGTGGATGGCGCAATCCATCGCGCCGCTGGACCAGGGCTCTTGAAAGAGTGCCGTGGTCTTGGAGGTTGTGCTGTCGGATCGGCCAAAATTACGGGAGGATATAACTTGCCCGCTAAGTGTACGATATGTGCACTGATTGGTCACTTATCTACTCATCTGTCACTTTCAAGCACAAATCCATCCGTTCATCTCTTCGCCATGCCAAATCCTTCTTCCCGTATTTTTTTTCTTGTTCTTTCGTCGCTTGCATCCACTCCTCGCCCTATCCATCTTTTGCTGCCTGTTCATCCGTCTACTTACCTCAACTATCGACCTCACCCTCCTACATCTATCCGCTGTTTATCAGAGTAGGAGCCACCTGCCTTCTCATCTAGTCTATTTCCCATCCACGCTTCTCCACGCCCATGCAGATACTCATGGTTGTGCTTGCATATCTATCGCTTTTTCGTCTTCATCCTCATTTTAAAGGCACTGCCTAAGTTGTTGTAGAGGTACGCTTTATCGGAAAAAACTCGCTCCCGCTTTTTTTAATGAAATGCATCATTGACAGATGTTATTCACTGCGTGGGACCGTCGGATGGAAGCGCTGAAGCGTTGCGCTCTTGTTACAAAACTGCCATGAGATTGTGCACCGAGAACGGTATCAAGAGCGTGGCGTTTCCCTGCATTGCTACTGGAATATACGGTAAGTTGGAGTCCCATTTCGTCTAATTAGCTCTTGCATTGTCGTCGCAGGCTTTCCAAATATGCCAGCTGCTCAAATCGCCTTGAGAACGGTGTGGGATTACCTGGAGGCGCATGATGATGTGAGTACTTGATTGTTTGAATTGGGGGCGGTTCAACAGGGAAGGATGAGTGAAATCTCTTTGTTCTTATCCACTTTTCTCATTTGCGTCATTTTGTCTACCATTCTCCTATCCAATCATTCATTCCTTTATTACACCGATTCGATTGCATTCCCATTAAACATTTCATCTTCTGGTTTTGCTTTTATGCATCCACCCTTCGCTCTTATCAGTCCGTTACGCCTCTATTCCAAGTGTGCGTATAAGTGGATGGATGATGAAGCGAAGGACTATTTTAGGCAATCGGAACTGGGGGACTGACCGAGTTGTTTGCAAACCTTAGTTCCCGTTTAGCTTCGTTACATGTCACGGTCCAGTTTCAGGGTTTTTAGCCAACCCACCAAACTGTGAAGGGGATTCTTCTCACACTTGCTTTTCTGATTACTTATTGCAGATTGAGCGCGTCGTCTTCTGCTGCTTTTTGGATGAGGACTACCGAATTTATCAGGAGTTGCTTCGTGTCAAGTATCAGGAATTTACCTCCTCAACATCATCCTAGTCATTTTCCACTGATTGTGGGCGCCGCTGAATTGCCTTCAAATAGTTTTCCGCTACAGAGTGTATACGCTCTTTACTGTAATTACATCTAAGTGGTTTTGAATTTTCGGATTTTTTATGGGCAGGTGATTGGTGTCGTGGGCTGGTCTCTTGTGCATGAGACTTTACTTTTCTCCTTCCCTTACTTATTTAATTTCAGTAGTGGTTTACGATCCTTGATTGGCTGCATAGGCAATTTATCGAAATCGGTGCAATTGTGAATTTGGGTGTTGGTCCATCCACACAGCTTGAATTCACAAGCAGGTCAGCAGAGGTGAATCCGCTCTCCAGACGTCTGCATTTCCTTTTCATGGTATTCACGAGGTGTGACACAGGGAGTCGTTTCTTCCACGTCGCTGTGATTGGTGTGTCAAAACTCTATCTATCTCCACTCAGCGTGACAGTCAGAATCTAGCAAGGCTGGTTTGCCAGCGCTATAATGTTCTTTGGAAATGCGTATGAAAATCTTAAAAACACGATCAGAAGATGGAGACGTAAGACGTACTCGGTTTGGTAAATTTGTACCTGTTTGGTGAGTGTTTGTGTGCATACGCAGGTCTTTCTCATAGAGAATAACTTAAGTGATACTGACGTCGAGAGGTGGTTGTGGTGACAGTTTTGTAATCCCCTTTTATCGATTTTCTTTGTAATGAATAAGAAGGGATTTGGTTGGTATCCAATGCGAAAGCATTCATAACAATTTATTGGTTCGCACATCAGTTGGTGACTCGAACAAACGGATCACCAATTGAACCAAAATTCACGCTGTTGTAGACAGCTGACGTCGGGTCACGTCATGACAGCTACTCAAAGCACGTGGAGATCCCTCGAGAGGCGTCAATGGTCTTGGATGGGAACCAAATAAGGTCTGAACATTGAAGGCCTTGCTCTTCCCAAAGGGACCAACGCAATCGACAGTTTTACATTCAGCTGGTGTGGCAACACCTTGAGGAAGTGGTAGAGGCAATCACTGAACCTTACAACACGATTCCAGAATTCCTGTCAGAAGTGGGCAGAGGGGATGGGACGGGAAAACAGGAGCAAAGAATTGCACTTGCATCTCATCTTGATGCGGTTTGTTTTCTCTCCAGGAGCACTCAACTTTCACGAATCCACATTTCATATGATTATCCAACGCCTCTAGTTAAAAGGCTGGAAAAGTCGTTGCTTAAACTACCACAAAGCATCCCTGGGAGAAGGAGGAAGAAGAAGAAGAGGCTTAGCTAGAGTCTTTTGCCCAGAGCGAAAGATCGCCACACTACAATTTTTCCACCATTGGCGATGCAGGAAGATGAAGGTTCTGAAGTGCGACATCTTCAGGGAAAGGGCAACTCCATTCGCCTCATTATATCTAACCGTTTGTTAAATGCTTGACACTTTGGTTGTGGGAAGAGTCAACTTGATTTACCTCTGTCATTCGGTTAAGTTCTATTCTACATTCATTTGCCTTACCAAATCCAAAACTCGAGCCAATTTTTGCATTATGCAATGCAACCTACGAGAGCATAGTAGTGCTTGGCCAGCCAAGGAATGCTGAGATAAATCCTCTCACCGTACCAGAAAAGCCCCCTGCCTCTTATCCTCCTCCCCTCGTGTGCCCTTGCGCCGTCTCCCACCTTCCACCCCTCCGAAAACATGAAGACAGTGTCTTGGTCAGGGCGGGGAAGGGAAGGAAAGGCCCGAGAGGCATCCAAAATTAACACCTACAAGTTAACTCCACCTCCTTCACCCACCCCACTCCCCCCGCCTCCAGTAACACGAAACATTTCATACTCTGACGAGCCCCAGTGTACTAGGTAGGCAAACACACACACACACAGGGAGATATGTGTGTATGTATGCGCACAATTTTGACAGTTGGTGCTAAGTGTGGCCAGCACTAATGAACGTGTGGTTATGCCAACCAGTTAGCCAACTTATCTCACTGCCCACCTCCTT